CCTCTTAAAATTGGATTTAAAGAACAGTCAGAGAAGGGAAAGGTGAGGATGAACAACCCAGCCATGTTGGGAATGGGGTTTGCCCACAGGCAGGGGTGTTCAGTGGACTCCCAACATTTACCTTTGGAGGTTAATGATGCTCTGGTTTCCTTTCGAGTTCCTTGGGGGTATATCTGCTCCTGCATCCCATAGCTGAATCCAAGCAGGTGGCTTGGCTGTGGTTGAAGGTGGCAGGGCATGGCCACGCTGACCCTGGTTTGGCTGGAGTGTGTGCCCAGCCCAAAGCCAGGGAGCTTATTTCAGTGAATGCTGCTTGCTTGGCTTTAATATTGATATATAAGAAATGAAAAACTGGTTATTGACCACTGCTGAGTGGGGTTAGAGTTATAAACTTAATACTAGCTGCCTCTGTTCCAGGTTTTAACAGGTAATTAAGTAATTAGGAGTCAGATTAACACAGAAAGATTGGGTTTGTGGTTAAAACCTTGGTCAGACATGGAAGAATTGGGGATTTAATTCCTCCTTTGCCATTTGGTTCATCAGCAAGTCATTCATCTCTGCTCTGTTAAAACAGGAAGTAGTGCTGCTTTTCAGTCTTGTTCAAGGGCTTTACACACTGCTGGGTGCAAGCTTTTGGGGCAGCCTCTGGTCTGATTTTGGTCTAATTTTGGCTATTTGGGGTTTGCCTCTTTGCGTACCAGGTACATTGCCACCCTTCTCTAGTGCATCAGGGATTGAGCTGCCAGTCTTTGGGGAGCTCTGTGCATTTCGAGTGAAAGAATGATCCTGTGTGTAATGCTGCATAGTAATGTTATTCATAAAACAGAAAGTAAAAAAAAAAATAAAAAAGCTTTCATAAAGCAACAGCTAATTCAGTTCTCGGATGAAGGCCAAGCCCAGTGCCTGATTTTGGTCAGTCTGGTCTCTGTCCGTCTGTGCATGATGCCGTCATAGCTCCTAACAGGAGATTGAGTTTAGATTTGGCTGAAATATCAAGGGGAAATAAACTGATTTACTGGGCAGGAATAAGAGCTGCTCCTGTGTGAGCAGCTCATCTTTCTGGAAAGAGCTGTAGAGTTTCATGCTGCTTAAGTCCTACTCAAACTGATGCTCTCAGCAATGAAGTACAACAAGAGTGGTCTGTAGGGCTTCAGCTGGCTCTTCACCTCCTCTTTGATTTTTAGGAGCAAGCAGAGGTGAGACACTCGTGCAGATCTGTGAACAGAGGTTATTTCCTCTCCTTGTTACCTGCATGGTTTGCAGTTTGTGCAATACCCAGACTGTTCTACTTTAATATCTTGCTTTGACCTAATCCATCTTAGTTATGGAGGTATAGAGGATATTCCTTCAAAATGAAGATGAATTGCATGTTGTGTTTGGAGGCTCAGAGCAGCACAGGGAAGCAGGCAGATGTTTGAATCAATGTTTACAAAATGAGATGTGCTGTACTGGGACACTGATAATGGGTGGGGGTTACTCAAAGGGTTCCAAGCAGGGGCTGGAGCACTGAGCCTGCTACCCTGCTCATAGCTGGTCCCTTCTGGAGGAGGTCCATTTCTTTTCAATGCCATCAACTCACTGTAACCACTGCAGGAGCTTTTGTCAAGCAGTTGCTATATGACTTGCAAGTGGTATCATTCTGTTAATGTATAGAGTTGGTGAAATCTTCTGGTTTTATGTTATATTCCCTTCTTGTCAATACACTGCCTGATTTTTAGCTGTAAGATCATGACAATGAGCAGCATTTAACTCCTCCAGAACCATACACCTCTTTCCTGTGTGATGGCCACAACTGGCTCTGGTATCAACAGGGGCTACCTTGCCAAAGGAGATGATGTTCACACAGTTTTTGTCATACCAGCAGCCGAGCTTTTGAACAATGAATTCATCTGCAGACATTTCTGTTCCTGCAAACACTGTGGCCCCACTGTGGCTGCTCTCCATGGGATGGTTTATGTGCATCGCTGAGCCAGGCTGAAATCCCCCTGCAGCCGGTGTGGGGACTGGGCTGATGTCAGGAGTCTGGAATTCACGTTCCCTCCCCCTTGCCTTTGCCTTTTTCCCCTTTCCTCCCTAAATAAATGTTGAAGGCAGCTTAGGAGCTAGCTGCTTTTGAATCTCTCGGAGCACAGGGAGGTAACTGGAAGCAAAGCTGGAGTTTTATTGTAATTTTAGTTGTTTCAAGGCAACTTGGACTGTATGTATGCAGAGGTATTTTTGTGTAAAATAAAACATAGTTAAAGACAGTGGGAAGAGCCAAGTGGCAAGGGACAGCTTAGACAAATGTGTGTCATCAATATACTGTCTAACAAGAGTAAGAGAGATGAGGAAACCTTCCAGCTGTGTGCTGCTTGGGCCAGACTCAGCTGGTTTATTATCTGCAGTGTTGACTTGGATTTGCCATATGTTTGTAATCTTGCATTGAGGGCCCAACTTCTCAGGATCGTGGAAACTTTTAAATACTGCCTAACAATGTACATGAATTTTCCATGCAAATATTAGGCTGATGTTCTTGGTAACAGAAACTTTGTATATTGTAAAAGATCTGTTCATGCTATTTCTTTCTGTTGCTGGGGTGTTTATTGTGTTCAGTGCTGATGTGCATGTTATAGTCCCTCCTCAGGGACACAGCTGGTTGCATATGGTATATCCCTTGCAAATCCTCTCCCTCTTTCCCCTGTCATTTTTCTAGTAACATGCTTGATCCCAACCTGAGGCCATTTTTTTTCCCTTGCAAATTTTTTTCCTATATTGTTTTCCTGCTCTTTGGGAGATCTGTCTTTTTTTTTTTTTGGTAGCAGCATTGCCACGCACCTTCCTGAATGCAGTTGAGCTGGTTTTGATATTCTGTAAGCTGGTAATAAACTCTGCACCCTTGGCCATGCAGTGTTGTGAGATGCACTGAGATCCTGATGGAAACTGGCACAGCCATCCCAGGGGGTTTGTCTAGGATATAATTGCAAATATCAGACTATCTAATGTGTGGCTGTCCTTGAAGACCTGAATAATATCACTCTTTAGGGAAAATAATGGATCGAGTGGCAAAAGAATACAACTATGATAAATTGTCCAGGCAAGGCTAAATGAAGCTGTTGTGTAGACATTTGCTTTAGGCACTGCTAGGGGGTTTGCTGAGTGGGGTGGTTCATCTTTCTGACAGCACTTTGCTCTAAGTATCAAGCCAAATTCAAAATAATTTCTTTTAAGTGTTTAAAGTCAATCTAGTTATTCTGCTTATGGAGATACTACCTCTCCTGACATAAGACCAGATTAGGAAGTTAAGGAGACACATCACTTGCATGACTTAATTGATCTTCTAAAGACCTGAACATCCGGAGGTGAACCAGCCCTGGCTTTGGCATGGAGAGCACTGGGTGTCAGGAGCTCTCCATTAACTAGTTTAATGTCTGCAGCAGTGAGAGCCTCAGTCAGGATATGAACCCAATGGGATGTGGTTGAGGAGGGCTGTTGAGGAAAGGAACCTTTTGCTTCATGTCATTAGTGAAAATGCCCATGTGGATTTTCCCTCTTCTGTGAAGTGTGTGTTTTGTTGGCCAGTCAAGCTGCATGCTTGTATGCATTGGTGGTTGTGAAGAGATCCTAGTGTCATGGGGGGAATACCTGGCAGAGAGGGGGAATTTTTTGATGAGACTTGCCTGGGCTTGGGCTGAGTTACAGGGGGAGGCACTTGGCTGCCTGGGGTGGAGTCGTGCTGTATCCTTGCCCTGTGTTGCCTTGCTTCACCCCAGGCACAACAGTTAGATGTTGTGCACAAACCCTGAAAGGGTCTGGGTGAGCCTACAGATTAGTATGGACAACCTATCAGCACCACAGCATCCTGCTGGGATGCTGCTCTCTCATAACATGTTTATATCCCAAGGTATGGCTGTGGGTTTACCTGTTACTCTAACCAGTGTGAATTTACATGTGGCTGTTTTGCGTGGTGTGTGTAATCCTTCAGGGAAACTTGCTGAGGTGTTTGCTTCAAAACAACTTTTTGGATCAAGCAACTTTAAAAAAAAGTTTGTATCTGCATGATGGTAACTTCTTGATTTAAAGCCTTCCCTTCAGATCATGAATGTTCTGTCTAATGCTTAATCTTCAGGATGTGCTTGAATGATAGAAGTTGGGTGAAGACATCCAGAAAATGTAACTGCTATAGCTAATAAGATAGTATATTCTCCCTTCTGCCCTAGTGCAGACAACTGATCGGCTATTCCTCTCTGCATTGAGTTAGTCTCTGACCAGTACAGTGTCCTAGCTTTGAAGCTGGTATTAACATTGTATTGGCAGATGTGTTGAAAACATTTCCTCTGTTTTTAAGATTGTGATGAACTATTTGTGTGAGGCAGGCTAATAATGACTTGGATCTGAGCAAGGTGCCAGTCTTATTACCTGCTAATTCTTGTTTTCTCTTTTTCTTTTTGCAGCTGAACCTGCAGACCTCTTGAAGGTATTAGATTTTCATAATTTACCTGACGGTATAACAAAAACAACAGGGTTTTGCACAAGCAGAAGATCTTCGAAAGAAGCAGATGTTGCTTATAGAGTAACAAAAGATGCTCAACTTAGTGCACCGACAAAGCAGCTGTATCCTGGTGAGTCCGCAGCTTTTTATTTGTCATATGGAAATACCTGATCCTTATCTCAGATTCTGTAGGCATACATAGGGTACTGCATAATTCCTTCATTTTCCAAGCATGCTTGTGTGCTCTCATGGCAGGGAGATTCTGCTGCTTCAGGAGGCTGCAAAATTTCACCCATCAAATAACATTGCAGAAAGTTGCTCTTTCATAGTTGCATTTGTACATGGTGATGGGTTTCACTGCAGATATGGCCAATGCCTACATCTGTTCCCTCCTCTATTAAAAAGTTTCTACTGTCTCATTATCACACAGTGACATCCAGCTGGGGAAAGAGACTTGGAAGATGCAAAGGAACGCAGACTGCGTTTTGTTCTGCATTTGTGGAGTGCCGAGCACAGTAGGGTCTTATTTTGTGGCTGTGGTGTCTCTTACAACACAAATAATCACCATATAAAAATAACAGACTGCCCCACAAGAACAGATGTCCCAAGAAAAGTTGTTTGAAGAAATCAAACGTTCATTAGAGAAAGCCAGTAAGATGCAGGAGTTCACAAAGCTCTTGAAGAGCATGTGGGTTACGGACCATTTTATTTGTCACTGAGGATGTGCTGGAGTTTTTTTTTTAATTTTTCAGGCCAAAGGACAGTCACTACTTGAGAGTAAAATGTGCTTGTAAAAAGACTGGGCATGTTATGGACCCAAACTACTCGCTGCCTGAAAGCTTCAGTCTTGAATGTGTCATCACTATCAGAAGTGACTTCCAAAGCCATACAGGAGCACTGCTGTATTCCTGTTTTACATGTGGGAGTGCAGGGGTGCTGGGAGTAGGCATGGTAGGACTTTCTAGATTTGGTGAGAAAAATGCCATTGCTAAGGAAGGTTTAGCAAGGAGGCAGAAAGACAGTGCATGTAACTTGTCTGTGAAGCAGTTGATGACTTAAGTAAAGCAGACACACACGTTCTCCTTTGGTGTTTGTAAGAGAATTAATGATACAAAGTGTGTTAGCTAAACCAGAGGTAATGTGGCATGCTGCTACCAATGCTTTTTAATTAACATGTTGTATCTATCAGACCTGGCCTGTCAGTGGCCTAAATGAGGACTCCAATGCTGGACTGCTGATGTGCTCACATCTTCCAGTCCTGTATTTCTTTCATTGCTTGTGTTATCTAGGGTTATTTTCAGATTTCATTATTTTTCTGCTGTGATAATAAGCAGGTGAATTATATTTAATCCCTAGTGAGCAGGAGCATACCCTATGTCTTGCAAACCAACGGGGAGAGCCTGATGTGAAGAGGAGAGCAGGTGTGCCTAGGCTGTGGGCTGGTAGCTCTCCATTGCATGGTCAACCCTTAGTGAATGAGCTGCTCTGTTTTGCCTGAAGCCCTGTTTCAATGTCTGCAGAAGTGCAAACACACCCTATATTTGTCTTTATTGCTGCCCAGGGCAGCACAGTCCTTTCTACTATAGATAATATCACCATGTGCCCAACTGCACCCCTCTGCTAGGTTGTGTCTTCATGTCCTGCAGGATTGTGCCTGTGGGTATGGGGAATATTCATCCCAGGGACAGGCTGCAAGGGCACTGAGGTGGCCCCTCAGTCCATTCATCTGTCCCAAGGCTCAGTTCAACCTAACAAGCATGTGTTTAACTGCTTTCATGTACTCTCTTTCCATGTATCTGAAATGACTTGAAGTTTTGTCCAAATTGGGATCTTCAAGTTCAGAAATACTGGAAGGAAACAGTTCCAGTTTGGAATATACAACTGTAATGGATTTGAGAGCTTTCCAGTAGTCACTGTAGCCACTATAAAATCTTGCCTGATTGCCTTTTGTTATGGAAACCAGCAAACAATGGTGACCCCAAGATACAAAACCAAGGATGGAGTAGTCTGGCTAATGTAGCATAGACTGGATGATACCACTTATGATAGAGGTTAACACAACAAGACAGTATGCAGAACTGAACTGTGGTCACAGGAGGGAACTCAGCATTGTAGGAGATTTTCTTTTGTCCCACCTTACTGCTTGTATGTCTTCAATGAGTTCTTGATTTGCATCTACTGTCTTTCTTGAGTGAGAAGATCTAAATGCTGTTTCCTTGGTGTCATCAAGCAACTTATCAATCACTTCATCATCTGGATAACCATGGAGTGAGGTGATTGAAGCAACTCTGTCTCTCTCCAGAGACTTCCAAAGTCATCAAGTCTTCTCAATGCAACAGTCTTCTCTGCTGCTTGTTAATGAAATAGGAAGAGCAAAATGAAGAACCCCCAGTGTTTCCCATCGGCTCGACAGATGTTTTCTCAGTACATCTCCATAACTAGATATCACTTCAGCTCACACCACTAAATGAATGAGAGAGGAGATAAAGATAACAAAGTAATTGCAGTGCAACGTACCAGGAGAAATGTGGTTTTAGTGATTTCATGTTAACAGATGGGTGGGTTGTAGCATAACTTTCCCTCTCTGCTATAGAGCACCCTAGGCAAATGTACATTGTACATAATATTTTGTGTTAATTAGAAGTTGGTGCTTTTCTAAGATGGTAATTTTACGGGCTTTGCATTCTGCTTCCATTGCCACAGCCAGCAAAGCAAGATATCTCTCTCTCTCTCTCTATATATATATATGTTTATAAAATCTTGTCTGTTTTTTCAAGCCCACAAGAGTGAAGAAAATCTGCTGAGATGGTCTTTGTCCTTGCTCCCTAAATAAGTTCTGCTTCCAAGCAAAACTGTGCTCTGCCAGCAGAGGCAAGAAAGGCAAAGTTTTCAGTGGCAGCCATCAAAGTGTCATTTGCATTCTTCTAGCAAACTCTATTCTCCACACTGCTTGTGGGTGTCTGCATATGTATATATTTAAGAGCTCAAAAATCTCTATTATAGCTTGAACAGTCATCACTGAGGGAAAACAAGTCGTTGAAGGTCTTATCAGATGAAGAAAAAGGCCAGAAGTTGGTGAAACTGTTGAAGAGTGTTTTTCCTTTAAAAAGTGGCTTTGAAAATTACACCATCTTGCATAATAGCTCTGTTTTGTGTTTGTATCAGGCTATGTTTGGATATACCTGCAGGATCTGGGTTAGGAAGACCATGAGATTGTACCAAGAGCCTTTAATCCCTGGTCATGATGCTCAGGAAAGAAGAAACTCAGACTGACTCCATTGTTTTGCATGTGGGGACATACCCTAGACGGAACCTGCTCAAGTGAAGCTAATGGCATCCTGTGGTGGAGAGATCTTTGCCCACCCTGGACCTCCTTACTTCTTTCCATGGCTCCACCTTCAGAATTGGGGTCTTAACCCTTTGCTGCCTTGCAGGAGGTTGCATGTAGTGAATTTAAAAGGACTTGGCTGTGGTATAAAAGAGCAATGCTGAGCCAAATTCAGCATTGGTGCAGTGCCATTAAGTCAAGAGATGGATGTGTAATATCTCTCAGCATGAGCTCATTTGAAGAAATGGACAAATATAAAGGCTTAATCCCAAACCTGTTGTTGAAGATGTGTTTCCATTGCCTTTTAGAGGGATTTGGGTCAATTTCTTTGCCTTGTATATTTGTTATGATGTATTTATTAGCGTTGCTGTCTGTATGGATGCATTTTCATACATCATTTAATAGCCTGGGTCATTTCTAGCTATGACAGTGAAGGCATTGTTGTTTTGCCAGGACAGCAGAGCTGTAACAGAGTAATGTCAACTATAATTCATCCATTATGGTTATTTGGGTTGAGAAACTCGCATCACCATGGAGACATTTTAATAATAACAAAAAAAAAATTAAAAGCAGCTTTTTAATGAGTTGGCAGCTTGTCCAAGTTGAAAGGTACTGTATTGTGGATTCATAATGAAATTTTGGACATGAACTATTTTACATAAAAGGCCCAAAACTGTAGCCTGTAATTAGAACCAGGAAGGTGTATGGTCTTGATTCAGTGCTACAGGAGGATTTATATACAGCAGGAGGGAGATAAAGCTCAGTGCATCCTATGGGAAGCACAATAATCAGATGCCTGCCTCTGCCAAATACCTGGCTTTGTGTCCTACGGGGAAATCGGTTTATAATCATGGCATTTAATTACTAACTGTGAGTCCTCTGTTCAGAATACTGCTTTACACTTCTTTCCAAATGTTATTTAACTAAGATGAGAGATATTAACTTGGTGCAAACACAACATGTCTTTGTAGGTACCCTCAGATGTCCCACATGGTGTTCTCTGTGTAGTGCTCATTTTTGCTGCAGCCCAGCCTGCTCATGCCTCCTCCAGTGCCTGGTGATGTAGCCCTGTGCTAGGCAGCTATATACATTTTCAAACACTGGTTTGTTAATAAAAATTAAAGCAACTCCCAGGCAGAAGAGGAGAGGGTGAGCTCATGGGCTCTGCATTTGAACTTAACTTCACTGTGGTTGGAAGAATTCCCCACCCCTATGTTCCCAGTCCCCTCCCTGGGTCAAAATCCCTTATGCAGCCCTGGGATAGCATCTAAGAAAAAGCCTAAAGGGATGAAGGAAATCTATTTGAAGCTTACAGGCAGGGAGCTTGACATTTTTTGTGGTTTTATATGGTTACGGATCTGCAGCTTAAAAATTATCCATTGTCTTGTTCCCTTCCCTGCACGCTGCCGGCTGCCACACACGCAGATAGTCCCAGCACGCAGTGCCCATGGCAGGGCTTGCCCCGCTTTACTCTGCCCCGCCGGGGTTTAAGATTTCCCAAGCAGATACCCAGCGGTACAATGCAATCCTTGTTTCTGAAAGTTTGGACCTTAAAGGAAAGATACCCTGCAAGTCTCACGCTGTTGTGATGCAGCATTTGAGGAGGTCGTGCCTTGTTGGTATCCTCTGTTTCAGTTATCTCCAATAATAATTTGATCAAGAAAGCTCCTTTACTAATGTTTCTGGTGTTTTTAATATGTCCTGTTAGGGATGTGCATCCAAGCTTTTCAGTTTAGGCTCACCTTTCCTGTCTGAGTGGCAGAAAAAACCCAAATGGAGGAGTTATATCCTGCACAGGGTATGACTTGATGTCTGCATTGACTTGAATCTTGAAATGTATTCATCTGGTGTTGTAAGGGATTGACCCTTCCCCTGTGCAGAGCTCTGTCTCTGTACTCACCTGCTCCATGCTTTAATGGCTTTAATTCACCAAACCTTGCAAAAGTACAGACAGGAATCACCTGAGATCAGAGGGGGTTGCTATCCTGACTGGAGAAAAAGCTGGGAAATTTGTTAGATGCTTTTTAATATGCAGACAAATTAGCATCTCCTACTGGTTGCCAGATTTATTTCTGTTTTCAGGCTTTTTTTTGTGTGTGTCTACATCAACCCTGAAAGCCAAAACCACAGAATGCTCTGTTCTTGTCTGGAACAGACAAAACCTGATGCAACTTCCCAGTATACTCCCTTAAATAAATCCTTTCAATATCATGTGTGCTTTGCTGGCATGGGATGCTTTGTTTCCTCTGTCTCTCTGACATCTTAAGTTAATTTGGGGACCTCATGATATATGAAACAGAAAGCTTTTGCCTTGTCTCCTAAAAAGTTTTAGGGCATACTAAGGAAAGGTTAGGTACAAATAATACAGATTTAAACTAACAGGTTTTTTAAAACCTCTGTTTCCCCAACACTCAAACATCTCATCTCAAAAACGATGACCTCTTGCCATCTTTTGCTTGCAAGTTCAAACGTGAGGTGGCTTTTGGCTCAGTGACAGATTGCACAAAGGCCTGGAAAAACGCTTTCTGATAATGAATGAGTGATCTTCAGAGATGCTCAGTTCTGCACTTGAGTTTTTAATTTCCTATTAGAGCAGGTAGCCCTTGGGCGACATGACTCTATGCTGGTTTTACTGGTACAGTCTGCTTTGGTTTGCAGCCCATCCCAACCCCATATTGCACTAGGCTTGGGGGAAAGCCAGCTCTTCACCTGGCGACTAAGATGCTGCCCAATATAAATCTTTAGGGTTGATGTGTACTTATGTGGAGGGGTAAACCGGTGGTCTCCTCATGGGTCATTAGATGACAGGATTGTTTCTATAGGGATTAGTTTTCAAGGAAACTTGACTAACCTCTTTGCTTTTCCACTCCAGCTTCCCCATTCCCAGAGGACTTCTCCATTCTAACCACTGTAAAAGCGAAGAAAGGAGGTCAGTCCTTCTTGATCTCAATTTACAATGAGCAAGGGATCCAGCAAATTGGTGTGGAGTTGGGTAGATCTCCTGTATTCCTGTATGAAGACCATACAGGAAAGCCAGGCCCAGAAGACTATCCTCTCTTTAGAGGCATTAACCTAGCAGATGGCAAGTAAGTGAAATTTTGTGCACAAAGGAAAAACTAATACATAGTTTATATCAATACCAGCATGTTGAACACTGTGTAAAATAAGAGTCATGTATATATAAACGTATATACACACCTTTGCTGCTAAGTGAACTTGATCCTTTGGTGAATAGATACTGCAGATATAAAAAGTGTGAGTCACATACCAGCCAGTACAAATTGTCTGACATTCATGGGTGTAGGAACATTTAACTTTTGCTGCAAAGGGCATTAAGAAATCAGCTTGTCTTGCAAAATCCACAGTGATGTAAGGAGGGTGGAAGAGGGGGATAGCCAGGGAGTTACCGGGGTGGGTTTTGCCTCTGCCTCTTGTTGAAGCCAGAACTGGCATTCTCCTTCTACCTGTTTTGGAGGGATGAGAAGTGAATGGCATTGTCTATCAATGCAGCCTTTCTATTTCAAATGAAACCTTTTGGATCTGCCCAAAGATGATTTTTGTGTGTTTGCAGATGATAGCTGGCACGGTGGTTTGCAGAACATCAGTTTATGAAAGCGTTGTTATTAGAAAATCATTAGCTTGTTCTTGAAAGCCCAAGGTTCTGTTTAACACATTTATGGACTATGTTCTTCCAGGTGGCACAGAATAGCTATCAGTGTGCAGAAGAAAAATGTCACCTTGATTTTGGACTGTAAAAAGAAGATAACGAAGTTTTTGGACCGAAGTGACCATCCCATCATTGACGTCAATGGCATCATTGTATTCGGAACGAGGATATTGGATGAGGAAGTCTTTGAGGTTAGTTGTGACAATGAGCAGCTCTGGAGATGCTCTGCAGAGATGATGAGCTGAGTTCTGGTTGATGAGATATTTCCAGGTCACTTCTGAAACTTGTATTGGATTTTTGTGTAATAGAACACTGTTGTGTGTAATTTAACTTCTAAGTTTTTGTTTTGACTAGGCAAATACTTTCTGTAGTAACAACGAAAACAGTGGGCTAGATGACCTGTTGGAGTGAGCTCCTCTGGTTCTCTGGTTTCATGCTCTTGCTGGGATTTTGTAGGTCTGTAAGACTTGTGCTTCTGGCTAGTTTAACATGGGAAGGGCTCACAGTGTTTTAATTTGTCCCCATTTTATGATTTAGATAAAGTTGCAGGGGCAGTAAATGAAGGCTGAGGAGAGCAGCTCCCCTGCAGGTCCCAGTTCATTCTGGGGCTGTAGGAATTTGTCTCTTTTCCCATGTGTTGGCCATTGATTCTTGGTTTCTTGCACCATGACATAAGGGGACTCTCCTTGACAGCTTGTTTGACAGCCCTGTCACCTCCCACACAGTGACTGCTTTTAAAAAGCAAATCAAAATAATGATGGGGAGAATGTTCCCATGGGTTCCTCTGATTTAGGCAAAGAAATAGAGGTTTATTTATAGACAAGGTACATGTGGTAGAAGCTCTTCCCATAGTTCAGCAGCTACTTTAATATATGCATTTCACTGGCAATCTCAACTTCTGTGGCCTGCTACGCTTCTGAGGCTTTCATTGCGTATGAGAATCTTGTCCCTGATCTTTGTGAGCTAGAATTGCTTCCCTGAAATCAGTGCTGGTGCAATGGAGTGTAAACTAAGACCTATTGATCTCTATCTCCTTACTTTTATTGTGTTTATGTGGAGGAAGAGCTGTATCTCATGGGCCACCCTAACCCAGCAAAGGGATGGGGAACATCTCCTACTGGTGGGTAATCAGAGCAGTAGTGAAGCCAGCTCTCATCTGCATCTTGCTGTCACTCGGAAGGAAAGTTCCAGTCTGTTTACCATAACCAACATCTGGGAGCTGGTCTGCTGTAAACAGCAAGAATGCATGGATTGAACATTGCTGCCAAAATCCCAGTTACAGAGTTAGAGCTAAATCTCTGAATTGTATTAAATTAATAGCCATTCCCTGGGAAGTTTAACAATTAAAATGGAAAGTAAAAGCTGGGTTTAATGGGCACTGGAGTGTCTTTTGCAAGTGTTAGACATTCTGCCAAAAATTTCAGCTGTTGCACTGGATGCCATATTTTAAGTGGAGTTGTTATATGAATTGGGAAGCCTCTGGACTCGGGGATCTAGTAGATCTACTTGAAGAACTTGATTTCTCATCCAAACTGGATAAGAAACCTGCCCTTCAGATTCCTTAATTTTGAAAAGTGATGCAGTTTCCATAATTGCCTCTGAAGCTTGAGATGTTCCCAGGTGGTTTTTAGTGGTCGCCTGGATTTAGAGCTGCTGATTCCTCTGCCAGGCAAGGGAACACACATTTAGGGGTGGCAATGCCCTCCCAGCTCTGCTGTTAGCCCTTCCCATGCTGAAAAGGACTTATCTGGGGGAGTACAAGCTCAGAGGACTTGTGAAACCTTCTCAGTCCTGGGAGGTGAGGTAAAATGGAGCAAGTGTTCCACTCTGTTGGAGCCTATTGCCTGTTCTGGGTACAAGATAATTGCAGGCACTCACTGAGAACTGGACAATTAGCAAGTATTTTTTTCCCCCCTGTCTTATAATGTATGTATTGATATCATACAGTATGTATATAAAAGAAAGTCTGTAGTTCTGGTATTTGTGTCCCTTTTTTTTTCCTTTGATCATCCTCATCAAAGAGGGTTCTCAGCATATCCACATACACTAATCAAGATACCAGCAGCTTTAAACTGAATGTAATTCATAGGTTTCATGAAGGCAGCGGACTATAACCTAATTTCCTTACTATCTCAGCAACTTAATTTCCTTTGGTCTCCTTCCTTCTTTCTGCAAGCCTAAGCAGAAACTGTATAGAGAAAATTGTGACTCAGAACAATGGGAAATGGGTGCAAACTGTTCAAGTTACGTTATTCCTGGAAAGCTGATAATTTCTGGACTGAATGCGGAAGGATGAAATGAAGCCACTGCTGTTTTGTAGGCAACCTCTCTGCAAACCTCAGCTAACAAGATGTTCCTCAGTGTTTTCTGTGCCCGTGGAGTTTCCTGGCTCTTACATGTTTGTAACTTTTTCTGGAAATTAAAATAACCCAGTTAGCTGGGAGGGGGGTGGAAGGCGGTGTTGGGGAGAGCTTAGGTGGGCTGTGCCTCAGCATGAATCAGCAAGAGCTGTAAGGAGTGGGAACTGATATCCTCCTTGTCAGGACTGAAATAAAACCCCAAATGCTTTGTGTTTTGTTTTGAAAGTTGTAAGTATTTAAAATCCAGGTTTAGCTGGGGTTGCTTTGCTGTATTTGTTGATTGAGCACACAGATGGGGACTTCCTCACTCGTACTCTGCTGCAGAAAAAGCCTGGCAGGAAAGGTTAGAGGAGTTTCAAAATATTTCTCTAGCACAACATTCTTCCAGTGGAAAAATGACTTCCTCTCATTAAAATTCAATTAGTTCGGAGGCTGTGTGGATCTCTCTGTATGGCTGGGAGAATGCTGGGTAGGTTTGAAAAGGGGCCAAGCCTGGAGCCTAGGTTATACAAGTTAAGTTTTGTGCTGAGCTGTTGTTGAAAACAGAAGTTTACAAATGTCAGGACAGGCACTCGCGCCAGGGTGGGGAAGCGGTGGCTGGTCTCAAGCTGTGACTGAGAGGATGCTGTTGTGAGACAGCAAAGGGCTTTTTGCAGTGAGAGAGGGGAAAAGAAAAGAAATAGCCCATGGTGCAGGATAAACATTTCTCTATGCTTGTAGGCTGTAGTAAGCAGTGTTCCTGTGGCTACAGCAGCACTGGAAGGAAGTTGGAAGACATGTGAATGTATCGCATTTTTAGAGGAATTAACTGTTTCTTTTGATGTGTTTTTTTTTTTTTTAAAAAACATACATTAGAAACCAAGTCCTAGCACAGTCTAATTGTTAGGCGTAGGAATAGAGAGAGAATGAAGTTTGGGAATGTCTTTTCCCCAGAAAGCAGAACATCTTTGGACTGAATCCCAGGGGGACTTTCCAAAACACCCTGGTGATGTGATGGCCTTGCTCCTGCCTGTGCTGTGCTGTGCTGCACGGCAGGAGCTGTGTGTTCAGTGCCCGTGATATATTGCAGGAGTTAGCTTTTTGTGCAGGATCCCATCTGTTCTTGTGTGGATAGTGAGAAACTGGAAGTGTGAGCCCATCTCTGCTTGTTGATCCCAAGGTCGACCCATCAGCCTTTGTGCTGGTCTCTGGTACCCTGTGCTGGTGTAAGAGCTGAGAGTAAGCTGAGTACTTGTGAGGCCAATGCTGTGCTAACTTGAGGGTGTACTTGGCTGTTGTATACACACTCCTGTTGCATATTGTACCCATCAACTGTGGTTGTGGGCTATTTGGGTGCTTTGTAGTCTTTCATCTAAGATTGTCCTTGGAAGGTGCTCATGCCAAGGAATTTCTGCTCCATGTGCAATTTGTCACTGGCTTCAGGGGACAGTACCTGTCTCTCTAGAGCTTGTTCCTTCCATCATTGCTTCCATCAAGCAATTGGGCTTTGAATATGCTCTCTCCCACCACCAACCAAAGCCTGGCAAGGCTTTGACATGTTGGGCCATAACAGTGTGTAGCTCATTTAATCCATTTGACCACCGTGTCCAGGGCCACATGGATGGCATCTCCCTATGGATTTGGCCTTTCCAATCTGCTGTTTGCTGTGGTGGTCTGGCGGAAAAGCAGTTCAGCAACGTCTGGGCTAAAGAAGTTATTTTGGTTTAGCAGATGTGGGCTGAAACAAAGTACAGGTCCTGGCTCAGGAAGGTCAGTGGTGCTGCGTTTCAGTCCCAGAAGTGTCTATATTACAGCAGCAAACAGAGAAATCCCATAACCCACAGCTGGAGGATCTTTATAAATGGAAAGTGCTGTACAATGTCTGTGGCAGGTGAATGGTACTGGCTCTGGGCTGGATTCGGTGAATTTAACCCCCCTGCAATGGTGTTTTGAAACAAATCAAGTAATCCCACAGATGTTTGGGTTCTGCAATACTGTGTGTCCCAGCTCTATTTTATTGCTGTAGACCATCATATTCTGTGATGGGCTGATGAACAAAATGAAACTTGTCCAGACCTTGCCAAAGTCCCAGATATGTGGCATCTTCCATATTTCTGCTGCAAATCCCATTTTGTCTTCTGATCTATAAGGAAGAGACTATTGTGTAAGACTACTGTGCTGATAAAAGTACTGTACAGCACCTGGCTGGCAGAGCTAACAGTGGCATGGTTAAAATTGCAGTGTGGATGTTGGTAAAAAAAATCAGTAGGCTTTGGTAAAACTGCTGAGGGCACCCTAGTAACAAGTGAGTACACTTGATAGGAATTATTTTTGGTTCATCTGTTTAAGATTTTGCAGGATTGTCCCACAAGGTAACTGATGTTTTTACCCTCTGGAAATAACATTGGTTTGCAGTAGCTTGGTATTGGTGTAGGTGAAATTAGTTTTCCCACAAGTGGAAAAGCTCAGCGCGTGTGTATATTGCTTTTTAAAGTTTGTCTTTTAATGTTGGCTCCTCTGGAGACAAGAGGAGCTTATCTTTTCCAGCTGAGTACCATAACTCTGTCTCATTGGTCTAGCTGGTACTGTAAAACCAAGTGGGCTTCCTCTGATCCTGCTACACAAAGTGCAGTGTGAGAAGGTCTCAGACACCTGTGGACGCTGTTCTGCCAAGACAGTGAAACCGTGAGGGACTGACAAGGTATTTGTTATTAGCTTATGCCAAAGCTTGTCCTGGGATGAGATATGTCATGCTGCTGGGCTTTGGATGATGCTGAAAGGATGGTGCTTTTTATTCTCTTTCCTCCTTTGTGTTTTTTGAAGACTGCTAGTGAAATCAAGACATCAGAAAT